GCCTTTTCAGAAAACAAAAGCACCAAGACGGACCTCCTTGAAAGTTTTCGATCTTCATGTCTTTTGCTATCATTGTTGCCTCAGTCGAATGGTGACTGCAGAGACACTTCTCCCGGCTGTTCTTTGTTCAATAATCCATTGTTCAAGTAGGTCTCCTAACTGTGGCCACCTCACTTTGTTCCCGCAGAAACTCAGTTTGGTCTTCTTAACTTGGCGCAGGTCATTTTCTTGCTTCCTCCACTTCCGTACCATAGATTCGTTGATGTTGAATTCTTTCGCAGCTGCTCTATTCCCATGAACAACCGTTTAACTGATAGCCTGTAGTTTGAATTGTGCCTCGTAAGCATGTCTCTTCACTGGTGCCATTTTCGGGAGTCCTTATAATGTACCTTCTGGAGGTGTGGCAGAGGTAAGCGTACGTGCTACGTACTGTTCTCTGATTGGTTTATCGCTGTCAGCGTACGTAGTGTACGTATTACGTACGTAGTACGTACGTCCCCGTGTCAGCGGGAAATAGTCCAACAGTCAGTCAAGCAAAGTCGCACAATATTTTGACAGATTTTGGAACTCAGTGCACATATAAGGCGCACCGGATTATAAGACACGCGGCCGATTTTTGAGAAAATTTAAGGCTCTTAGATGCGCCTTATAGTGCGGAAAATACGGTATAAGAAAGCTTTTGTTCACGCCATAGTGGAGGATATGACGGCTCATCTCATCAGAAGCAATATGATTCAGCTGATCAGTCCATAAAAATTGTAAAAAGAAATATAGTTGTTTTAATCTAAGAGACGTGCTGATGTACATGTTTAAAAACTCTAAAACTCTTAAAAATTATGTAGATTTATTTGCATAGGATTATTTAGATGTTGATAAACACTTTATTTCTAAAACAAGTTTTCTTTTTTTTGAGCTCAGGCTTCTCCTTATCTACCTGTAACTTCTTCCTCTGATGAAGATAGGCCGTTAGGCCTGTATAGCTAGCATTACAGTCACAGCCTCTTAGCACATCCACCTTTTTACACCCAGCTGGTGCAGCCAGTCCCAGGTCACTAAGCACAGCACAGCTCTCAGTGCAGAAAGATGGGAAGTTGAGTACCCTGTTATATTCTTCACGGATTCCATCTACATCTAAAAAGATACTCTGTGAAGCAGTCAGCATACGCATCCAGGGAGGGCAATGGCTCAGAAAGCAGATTAAAGATCTATAAAGATTAACACCTTGGAAAGTATGACCCTTTGCTTGCCATCACTTACTACAGAAACGGAAAGAGGTGGTTCCCTATTTAAAGCTGGGGTGGGCACCAAGAGGACCCGTGTCTGACTGTAAGATGATGAGAATCCAGTAGGGGACCTTGCCACATGGCCCATCTCTATCCCCACAACACCTGCCAGCTCCATCAACCAGCTGAAGAAAGGTATGGTCCTGCTGAAGCTGGAGCTGGACTGTCCCATCTTTATATTGAAAGAAAATCTGGAGGCTCAAACTCTAGAACACTGTGCTCTGTGCTAGGCGAGTCAAAGTGAAGAAGTATAGAGAAGAAGCTGTGATGATATGGGTTTATTTATGGGGTTTTGGCTCTCTGCCATTGTGTGTTGTTTTTTGAATGCAACTGTGTGCTCTGATTTTCAGGTTGGGTGGGGCTGATCCGGAGGAGGACTCTCCCACAGCTGTGGCTCATCTCCGTAATCAATGCACTGGATAAAGCCACCTTCAACCTGTGCTCCAGTGCCAGTTGATTGCCTACCCATGTGTGGTACTTTCAGGTTGCTTTGTATTACTAAGTCTTTTCCAAGTTGTGATCTCGAGTTTTCGAGTAACCTGCATTTCCCCTGTTTTTTCCCCAGCGTCTCCTCCACTCACTCTCCGTACAGCCGTTTCCAGCTCTGCACACCAGCCTGCGTACCATACACGGATCTCTCCTCCTCCCTCACGAGCACCAGTACGAGACACAGCCTACCCACTATCGACACGGATCTCTCCTCCTTCCCGACAAGCACCAACACAAGATACCACCGTCACCTGTGGCTCTCCCCTCACACCCTGGACCCCGGATCCCTCACCTGCCTCCTGGTGCCCCTGTCACTCCCCGGATTCCCAAATAAAACTGTTTTCCTTTACTCCCGCCTCCCTCTCGTTCTGGGTTCCACACACACATGTTTTTCCTGTGGCTATCCAGCCATGACAGAAGCTTCATCAGGTAGGTCCAAAGCCTTGCAGACCTACTCTCATCAGTCAACACAATGACAGATACAAAGACAGACTCTCCCTGTCAGTGTCCCAAAACCCCTGCATTGTTTCTGCCCGACCCTCTCCTTTGCACCCAATCCAACAACACCTTGAACCCCTCCCAGTATATCTATACAGAAGGCTAGCCTCCACTGGGTCTGAAGAAAAATTTTCACAAGAGGTCCTGCTAACTGACTCAAACGGAAAATTCCTGGCCAACAGCAAGAATTGTCCAGCTGGGAAGCTGCTGTTTAAACACAGCAGCACCACAAGAAAACATTTGAAAAAGGACACCCTCGGGTGCCGTGAAGAGCTGGTGCTCCACACAGGTACAAATGACTTGCTAAGCCTCCGTAAGGACATGGCTACCACGATGGCGGGCGAAACCAATAGGAGGTTCCCTGACACCCTCAGTGTAGTCTCCACCCATGCGCCTCGGACTGACATCTCTCCTCATATCAACCATGCTATCAATATAGAGAGCAGAAGAGGATGTGCCACATTACCAAATGTCCATGTAGCCCTCCACCCAACCATTGGCACCTGTGACCTCTATGATGAACTTCATGTAAACTAAGAGAAGGTGAGGTTGTTTGCAAACACCCTCACCCTGAATGTGATCCTTCTACTCTTCTACTATACTGGGAGCTTCAGAGACCATCCCAGATCACCTAATCCTCATCACACCCCAGTATTATCCCTTCTGCTATGAGGAGACTAAACATTTCAGCCTGGACCTCCCAAGTCCCACAACGGTAGTTCTTGTAGTTTGTGCTTCCAGTGGTTTTACGTTCCCCTTTTGTATTTCTCTCCTTTTAGATAGTCTCCTCTGCTCTTAGTGGTTTCACTTATATATTAACCAAACAAAAAAACACTTCTGTTAGTTGTTGTCTATCGCACCACTGCCCATTTCCTCAGCATTTTTATCTGAGTTCTCAGGTTTCTCAGCTGATTTAGGGCTCAGTACAGATAAAGTCATTATAGTGGGTGACCTTAATATCCATGTAGATGATGAGAACAACAGCCTCAACTCTGCATTTAGTTCATTGTTAGACTCAGTTGATCCGAATTTGATATATGGCATATAACTAAGCAACTGATTGTATTTTAACCATCTTTTGACTGACCATTTTAGTAACATTTGAATATACAGTAATGGATAGAACTGCAGCTTTATTGCATTAATCTATCGACGAATCACAAAAGTGTTGCTCCATGGTATAATTCATAAATGCTAATCTTAAAGCAGACTTCACAAAATCAGGAAAGGCAGTGACGTTCTACAAATTCAGACGAATTTGACTTAGCCTGGAAAGATAGTATAATGACAAAACAAACAAACAAACAAACAAAAAACACTCAGTAGAATAAGAATGGTCTTTTATTCATCTCTAACACTGGAACACAAAAACAACCCCAGGGTTCTGTTCAGCACTGTAGTCAGGCTGACAAAGAGTCACAGCTCTGTGGAGCCTTGTGTTCCCTTAGCTCTCAATTATGTGACCAGCACCACAGAAATGATTTGTCTGAAAAGTTTCAATCAGGTTTTAGAATGCATCATAGTACAGAGACAGCACTGGTGAAGATCACAAATGATCTTCTTATAGCTTCAGACAGTGGACTAGCTTCTACATTTGTTCTGCTGGATCTAGAGAATGTTTTGTTACTTTCTTCAAAATCATATGTCTAAATACATCTCCTTAGTATTTGGTAGCATTGCCTTTTAACTGTATGACTTGAGTCAAACGTTTTGGGTTTCCTTCCACAACCTTGAGGTGTGCTTTAAAATACATCCACATCCAAATTCCTCCAATTAACTCAAATGTTGTCAATGAACCTATCAAAAGCTTCCAAAGCCATGACATCATCATCTGGGCTTTCCCAAATAGTCTGAAGGCATAGTAATCTTAGTGTATGGAAACTTCTAACTTTGAAGAAAGTCATAAAAAAAAATCTCTAAACAATTCTCTCTCTCATTATTCTGGCATTTAGCAAATAAAAATAATGTTGGTAATCCTGACTGACCGAAAACAGGAAAAATTTAGTCTGATTAAATGTCAGACAGTGAGAAAAAAAGGTTTTCTGTCTTTTTACACAGTGTATGTAAACTTGTGGTTTTAACTGTATATATCACCATTACATGTGACTCACTTTGTGTCTTCTCTTTTCCATAGTTTGTATTTTGTCCTTTCTGCTGTATCTCTAGATCTGGAGCTCCACGTCTCTGATCTGCAGCCGCTGGCCTCACCGACCTCCAAAGTGGTTGTAGTTCTTATCGTGTTTGTCTGTTCTCTAGGATTAATCTATTTCTCTCTTTCATAAAATGTACATATTTTTAAGTTTTTAAACAATATTTTTAAAAGTATCCAGTATGTGTTGTTTGTTTGTTTGTTTGTTTGTTTTATGATGAGCCACCTATACAATATTAGCAGGCTACTTTAGAATAATATATTGTTTTTACTATTTACAAAAAAATCTGTTATCTTTAGTGTGCAGAATGAATATAAAATGACAAAATGGTGAGAGGTAGATGGAAAGTCGAAGGGGGAAGGAATAAAGAAAGGTGGCTCACTTCGCCCTGAACTCTGCTGTGGCTGGAAGATCATGTTGATCTGTGATAAAGGGCAAAGACGAGGGTTTGATTGTCTCATGACAACCAGGTTGTTACAGGAACTTTGAAACTTGTGGGATATGAGAACATCCAGCAGATGGCAGTAAGGGGGTCAGCTGCCGTAGAGGCCGACAGAAGAAGAAGCGGAGCTGCGTAATGAGGGAGGGGCTGCGGTGGACTTCAGCCTCCATCCAGCCGTCTGTCGGTCCGTCAGTCCGTCAGTCCGCCCAGCAGCAGCAGCAGCAGCAGATAGTCTCACCGTGAGTCCACATGGCTGATCTCCAGGTGAGTATGATACGAGTTACTAGCAGTTTACCAGATAGCTTATGGTGAGCCGTTAGTCGGTGAGCCGTTAGTCGGTGAAAGGTTCCGGCTCAGCAGAGACAACAGAAAGCGGTCTCGGTGGCAGTAAAGCAGTTCGTCCAGCGGCGACGGTACTCACAAAGCAGCCGAGCAGGGCAAAGGTCTGCAGGAGGCCCAGCACTGGGCCAGCACAGCCTGCCGCCTCGTCGGGGCTGCATTTGGGACACGGTCCACTCCATGTTCTCCACACACCGAATGTAAACGGCTCAGAGACACCTGAGTCGGTTAGACTCCGGATGTCCGCCTCATGGACCCGCTGACTTCCTGGAAAAGCGGCGACAGTCCTGTGAGATCCAGATCCAGTACAGACCCTGACCCAGATCCAGGCCCAGCACAGATCCAGATCCAGACCCAGACCCAGACCCAGACCCAGATCCAGGCCCAGCACAGATCCAGATCCAGATCCAGATCCAGACCCAGACCCAGACCCAGATCCAGCACAGACCCTGACCAAGATCAAAGCCAAGGACAGATCCAGAGCAGACCCTGACCCAGGCCCAGAGCAGACCCTGACCCTGACCCAGGCCCAGAGCAGACCCTGACCCAGGTCCAGCACAGACCCTGACCCAGATCCAGGCTCAGATCCAGCACAGACCCTGACCCAGATCCAGGCCCAGAGCCAGCACAGACCCTGACCCAGATCCAGACCCAGGCCCAGCACAGACCCTGACCCAGATCCAGGCTAGCACAGACCCAGAGCAACCCAGGCCCAGGCCCAGACCCAGATACTCCTGCTGAAGCGGTGCCGGCTCGGTGACTGCTCTGAAGATAGGCAGACTTAACACCAGGGACATGGAGTCCGGAGGTCTTCATCCCGGTCCAGACCCAGCCTCAGCGTGGTGCACTGGCTTTGCCTGGCCAGCCTTGGTGTACATCACATTTTACTTGCTGTCTTTATTAATATTTATCAGTTCTTATTTCCTTATTCATTGTTTGTGTGTTTTTCATTGTTGTGTTGACATTAAGTCAATACCTTGATGACAGGCTTCCATTCAAACCACTAAACTCAAATTCTAGTTCTTTCCGCTAATCTGTATTAAACTCATAAATGATCGATATCAAATGTCCCAACTTTCTGAAACACTATGAAATTCAAAATGAGCATAAAGTTTAAAAAAAACAACAAACAATAAAATCTGTTATAACATTTGATATGTTGTTATTGTACTACTTTGAACTAGAGAGTTGGATTCTAGATTTAGATTATTGTTTAGAGATGATTAAGTTGTAACTTTTTGCTAGTTTTATGTAGATTTAACACAACTTTCCCCACAGATGGAGAGTGTTTCTTCTATAGACAGAGATAGACTCTAACCAGTGCTGGCCCTTTCATCTATTGGTCTGAATGTATTCTGTGCATTTAGTATACATCATCATAGTGGTTATATGGCAATAAGCAAACAGGATCCAGAGCGGACATGTGATTTTACTGGCAAGGTGCCATAATCCAGTCCTCCTCTCTGGCCCAGTTGGCAAAGAGTTGTGCAGTGACTTTTGTTGTGTGGGAAGGGGTCCAAGTTAATCAATGAGCTCATTGTACATGTAGTATTTTGCCTCCATTCAGTAACATTGAATTCATTTCCAGATTCACAGTCTAAATGGTACGATGTCAGGCTTCTCTGACGCTGCAATGAAGTTCTGTTGTTGCAGCCGTGATTTATTCTGTCACACCCTCCTGTCAGCCAAAGTTCAACAAATGCATATGTGATGCAAGCACTGTAAAAATACATTTGCACTGAATGGAATAATTGTCAAGAAGTTTGTAGAGGTGGGTTAAGTCACTGATCCTCATAGAAACCTACTGATTCCATGTGATTTGACTGTTTCTACCAGATTGTATCTTTTTATTCATTTAGTTAAATTAAATAGAAGTAGTGAGGTTGAGCATCTGTTCTTTGGCACTTTGATTTCTCTGTATTAAGAAAATGTCAGTTGTGAAAATTCCCAACTTCAATCTCATGTACTTTAGTGCAGCATACACCTCGGTCATATTAATTGCTTATTGTAATTTTACTCCAGGTGGAACTGGTGTTAAAGTTAAACTGCCAGAATTTATCTATTTGATCAAAGCAAAAACAAAAAAAGGCCAAAGAAATGGTTTACTTTTGAAAAAAATCATTCTGTTAATTTCACCGCCTCCAGTGGTCCAGACCAAATAACATGGCAAGACAACAAAAAGGACTTACCTCAGCTCCAGGTTTCAGAATGTCACAGGGACCATGTCCACGTCATTCCGCAGTGTGTGGTGCTGCTGTGGAGGTGATCCTGACCTCACACCTACTGTGGTCCACACTGCTGGTATTCTAATTAGGCTGCTGTCCTTTTCTCTGTAGGAGAAGTTTAATGCAGCAGCAAATGAAGTGAAGCAGCTGAAGGCGAAGCCGACAGATGAAGAGATGCTGCAAGTCTATGCGCTGTACAAGCAGGCCACTGTGGGTGACGTGAACACAGGTGAGTCAGCAAGCCCTGTTCCTGCCACCAACACACTGGCTGGCCTGTGGTTGCTTTTGGCATTAGATCAAGCTAGAAACCAGACTCTTTTCATTCATTGCTTTTCGCTTCTTTTGAGAAGACTAAGAGGGATGATCAGTTATCGGCCGAACTGATTATTGATGCTGATATTTGGCATGTTTAGATAACTGGTATGTTTCCAGATACAGCGCAGCTCCGGTGAATAATGAGCGCTGTTTGGAATGTGAAGTAGCAGAACCGGCTGCAGGTGGAATAAGTTGCATAAGCATTCCTAGTTTTACACAGACAGACCCCAATCATTTCCCTGTAGGTGTTAACTGTTAACAAGTGGTGCAGCTGGAACTTATTTTGCTGATGGTGCTAGGCTATGGCTATTGGTAAGAGGTTAGCTGTGTCTCTTAACCTGGGGCTAACACATCCTGTAACATGTTTCTAAAGTCAAATTAATTTTAACACTCTGTTCAGACTGACAGACTCGTCTCTCTGCAGAGACACGACCTGCAAAAACTGAACAAGAAGCACAGAACCAGGTCATGAGCTGCTTTCACAGTGGCTAATGCTATGCTAACGGCCTGCAGCGTAACCAGGAGGCAGCCACTTATTAACCTGAAACAGTGTCTGCAAAACAATGACTGATAATGCTTTAAGAAATCGGCCTTAATGGGAAATAAAAGTGACAGAATTGAAAAATATAAAGAAAACAGAAATGTTAGAACTACAGGAGACGAACTGTTATTGATATCAATCAACTGATCTCCAACATGCTGTGAATGTATAATATTTAATATGTAATCCTTATTAATGAATAAACCTAGTTATGAAAGGTTCCCCGCAATTACATACTGCTAACAGTTGATTTTTGTTGTATATCGGTTCCAGATATAGATTATCAACCTTCCTCCATTACTTATAATCAATATCAACATCAGCCATGAAAAAGAAAGGGGGGGAAAAAAACAAAACATATCTTTCAATCCCTTGTCTCTTGAGCCTCTGTTACAATTCCTAAACAATGACTACCAGTACTGACTTGTGACAATCAGCACTGTGAGAGCATCACTGGATATGTGATGGTGTAATATTATGATCTTGAAGTTTTACTTATTTCTTTAATTTTGAAATTAAAATATAGCTGTATGTACATATGCCGTAGTTGTTGCATAAATATTTTGTGGTGAAACACTCTTCACTAACATGCCATAAAACATTAAAATGGTCTTGCTGCATCCTTGAACTGTGTTTAGTGCAATAACTTTGAGAACCACTGGTTTCAATCATCCAACTTGTTCTTTAATGACCATCAGTACAGAGGCTTTACATTTAACGGAGCAGCTGACCTGTCACATTGACAGGACGTACTGTTGCTTGAGATGCATCGCACCTACAGTACATGTCATTTCTGCTAATTAGTTTGGTTTCCTTAAATCACTCCACCTACATCTGTCTTTCTTTCTTCTCCCCAAAGCTCGCCCAGGGATGTTGGATTTCACTGGAAAAGCTAAATGGGATGCCTGGGAGAAGCAGAAAGGTTAGTGAAAATGTTTGTGCTCTACGTCACTACATACAGTTGAAACCAGAAGTTTACATCCACTGTATAAAAAGACACATAACCTTTTTTCTTCACTGTCTGACAAATAAATCAGACTAAACTTTTCCTGTTTTAGGTCAGTTGGGATTACCAACATTATTTCTATTTGCTAAATGCCAGAATAATAAAGGAGAGAATTGTTTAGAGATTTTTTTGTTATTGTCTTCAAAGTTAGAAGTTTCCATACACCAAGATTACTATGTCTTCAATCTGTTAAGGAAATTATGATATCATGGCTTTGGAAGCCTTTGATAGGTTCATTGACAACATCTGAGTTAACTGGAGGCACACCTCAACCACACTGCTTCCTTTAGTGACAACATGGAAAACCTAAAGAAACCAGCCAAGATATCAGGAAGAGAACTGTGGACCTCCACAGGACTGGTTCATCCTTGGCTACAATGTTTAGATGCCTGAAGGTTCCACGTTCATCTGTTCAGACAATTATCTCAATTATAAACACCATGGGAATGTCCAGCTCAGGAAGATCAGTTCTGTGTCCCAGAGATGAAGTGTTTTGGTGACAAATGTGTGTATCAACCCCAGAACAAAAGCTAAAGACCTTGTGAAGATGCTGCTGAAGCTGGTCAGAGAAAGTCATTATTCACAGTGAAACCATGGGCTGAAAGGCTGCTCAGAGTGGAAGAAGACATTACTCCAAAAGACACATAAAAAAGCAGATTACAGTTTGTAAGTGCACACAGGGGCAAAGACCTTCATTTCTGGAGTCCTGTGGTCTGATGAAACTAAAACTGAACTGTTTGGCCATAATGACCATCGTTACATTTGGAGGATAAAGGGGGAAGCTTGAAGCCTGAGAACACCATCTCAGCTGTGAAGCACAGGGGTGGCAGCATCATGTTGTGGTGGTGTTTTGCTGTAGGAGGGACTGGTGCACTTCACAGATGGCATCATGAGGAAAGAACATTATGTGGAAATATTGAAGCAACATCTCAAGACATTAGCCATGAAGTTAAAGCTTGGGCACTAATGGGTCTTAAGATGGACAATGACCCTCAGCATACCGCCAAATTAGTTACAAAGAGGCTTCAGGTCAAAGTCAGTGTTGTGGAGTGGCCAGCACAAAACTCTGATCTCCATCCTGGAGAACATCAGTGGGCAGAGCTGAAAAGGCGTGTCTTTTTATACAGTGTATGTAAACTTCTGGTTTCAACTGAATGTATTTCCAGCCCGTTGTGTATGGCATACAGAAAGATTACAGGACTATGTCCGACCTCTGTTTTTACATTTAGTCACATCAGTTTACGTTTTAACATACCATCTATCTTCTTCTTCTTATTGGAGAGTATTTGTTTATGGTAGGTATGTTCCACATCCTGATCCAAGTCAATTCAAGTACAGACTGACCTATCCAAACAACCTTAACTTCTAAATGTGGCCCAATATTTCCATAAGCTATTTAATCCAAACATTGATGATCCTCAGTAAACATAATTACATTTTATAAGCCTAAATTGTTGATTTAAAAAAGTTTCAATGTGACTTGTGAAATGGCAGTGAGGCTGTGGGCTACAGAGGAGGCAGCTGTTGGGACTGAAGACACTGTCTGGAGTGATAGTGCAGTGTTTCACAGGGATCCTTCTTTTACTTCACAAACAGTCATTGCCAGAAAGCAGACACACAGACAAGTACGGAAGCCTGTATTAGGCTTTATTTAAATGAACATTTTAACTAGAAAATGAGAATTTAAATCTACAATAGCATTATAATGTTCCACATATGGAAAGTACATCACAAACAGTTTGTCAGTTAATCATACATTTTAGAATAAAAGTCCTGACTTAAATAAGAAACAATAATTTTGGTAATAATCATGGGCATGATTACCCCCAGAAACATACATACTGCCATACTAGTCAACTCTACACTCATGAATGTTACTCTTTACAGTCTTTTTGAGCTATTATTTAGATTTATAAACTGTAAATATGTAAGCATTTAGAAGTAAGAGTAAAAAGTATCTTCACACAGATGACAAAATGTTGATGGGTAAAAAAAACCTTGTTGTTGAGTTCCTGTAGTATGAATCTCCCCAACAACAGTCCAGCATGTTTTCTCTGTCACTGTGTGTTCAGGTCAGAGTGAAGATGACAGTCTGACCTCATACAACCAAACACACAGTGAAGCCAAGTTTTATGTTTCCAATAAAAAGTTTGGATGTGGTTAGCCTACCACAGCTCCCAGTGCTTTAGTCTAACACGGATAACTGACACCACAAAAAGCTGAGTGGCTGCTCAGATATATAGACCCTTTTCAAAAAATTAGAATATCATGGAAAAGTGTATTTATTTCCATAATTCCATTCAAAAAGTTAAACTTTTATAGATTATAGATTCAGGGCCCATAATTTAAACGATTTCAAGGATTTATTTGTTTGGGTTTTTTTTGTACATAATTTGGGCTTCCAGCTCATAAAACCCACAAAAACAGGAATTCAAAAAAATTAGAATACTGTGAAGAAATCAGCCCAAATTTTGCAGGGCATGAATGTTTTAAACTGAGTGTCACACACCAGTCATCTACTAAACTCAAAGCACCTGCACAGGTTTCCTCAGGTGTCATTCAATTTGGTTCAGTTGTCTCAGTTCGGTTCAATATGGATGACTGCAGACTTGACAACTGGCCAGAGGGCTATCATTGATACCCTCCATAGGATGGGTAAGCCACAAAAGTTCATAGCTAAGGAGGCTGGCTGTTCACAGAGTGCTGTGTCCAAGCATATCAATGGAAAGTCTAGTGGAAGGGCAAAATGTGGCAGGAGAAGATGCACCAGCAAAAGAGATGACCGTGAGCTTCAGCGGATTATCAAACAGAGAAGATTCAAGAATCTGTCAGAGATCCAGAAAGAGTGGAATGAGGCGGGAGTCACAGCTTCAAAAACCGCCACATTCAGACACATCCGGGAGATGGGCTACAACTGTCGGGCTCCTCTGGTCAAGCCACTTCTGTGCCTGAGCCAACGTAGGAAACGTCTCAACTGGGCCAAGGAGAAGGACTCGACTGTTGGCCAGTGGTCCAAGGTCCTCTTTTCCGATGAAAGTTAAGTGTGCCTTTCAGGAAGATGGATGAGGAACAGAACCCAAGCTGCTTGAGGTCCAGTTTGAAATATCCACAGTCAGTCATGATTTGGGGTGCAATGTCTGGTGCAGGTGTTGGTAAACTCTGCTTTCTTAAATCCAAAGTCACCACAACCGTCTACCAGAATGTTTTAGAGGACTTCATGATTCCTTCTGCTGAGGATCTGTACGGAAATGCAGATTTCATCTTCCAGCAGGACCTGGCCCCTGCCCATACGGCCAGAAGCGCCAGAACCTGGTTTGATGCCCGTGCCATCACAGTGCTTGACTGGCCAGCCAACTAGCCAGACCTAAACCCCATTGAGAATCTATGGGGTATTATCAAGAGGAAAATGAGGGGCACCAGACCCAAAAACAAAGAGCTGACAGCAAGCATCAAGGAAATCTGGGCTTCTGTAACTCCCAGGCAATGCCATAGGCTGATTGCCTCAATGCCACGGTGCATCGAGGCAGTGATTAAGGCAAAGGGATTCCCAACCAAGTATAGAAGATTGACATATCGTTTTGAAAGTACCATATTTTGATTGATTTGATGTGATCCTAATTTCTTTCTTTTTTTCCCTGCAAAAACTGAGTAGTAAATGGTGATTTCTTCACAGTATTCTAATTTTTTTAATTCCTATTCTTGTGGGTTTTAGGAGCTGGAAGCCCAAATTATATAAAAATAAATAACTACTTGAAATCGTTTTTTGTCAGCACAAACTTTGACCACCACATTTACTGTTTGATATACCAACAAAGCACTTGAGCCCTCATGGCTAGACACTACATGCAACAAGGAGGAAGACTCTGCTGAATAGAAGGCAGTGCTTATTTATTATGTCATTTGTCTTTGTTGAACTACTTAAATGCATTTTTGACTTTTTCATCAGACAAGAGCAAAGATGATGCCATGAACGAGTACATCAAGCTGGTGGAGGAGCTGAAGAAGAAGTACGGAACCTAAAGCCACATGATTAAAATCAAGTGGCTGGCACAGCTGCTGGATGGACTGAGACCATCACCAGTCATCCTTCTGCCCTGACACTGTGAAACACCTGAAAATGCCAACAGTGTGTTCTTACGCACCCGACTTGAGTGCCTGGTGGACTGCTAGTGGTTCCAGTGAGATTAAGGTGGCCTGAGTAACTACTTATGCACATTCAGAAGCTTTCCTCTGCCAGTCCACCATCATGTTTTAGTCTTTTCAGCATCATCATGTATGTGAAAAAACACAGTTTCAATATAAAATCCAGTCTTCTCGAAGTGCTGTGTTCGCTGTACTTGTTTTTACTGTGACCCCACATTGTACACAACTCAATCAGTATTTACCATTTCAAAAAAAAATCTGTCAAATTGAAGATTGTCAGGCATGGGGCATTCTATGAATTGCAGCGACATGACTGAGTTTTTTCCCCTCCATTAATCCTTTGATCATGACCATATTTTTCTTGTGGCTCCACCATTAGGGTGTGGACAGAGCTATCTAACTGTATGCAGAACTAGTTAATACACTAGTATCAGATAATACTCTACTTGGATGGACTCTGATTTATATCCAGGTATCCTTACAATGTATTGGTATTTTTACTTCAGTGAAGGATCTAAATACTTTTGATTCATGAAGTGAAATAGCAGTTAAAAGTCATTCAAGAAGTTTT